ACAAAATAACGCTACCAATTCTTCAAGAGCAAGAACATAAAGCTACAGACAGGCAGGAAAATGGCTGTCCAAGAAGAAAAGAGGCAGGGAACTGGAGTAGTCAAAAAAGGATGACTGGGAAGCAAATAAACCAGAGAGGACCCTGGGGCACTGGGGAGAACAAGTGGGAAGGGCTAGGAGAGAGAAAGTACTGAGAACTGAGTCAGAGTGCAGAAAAGCGCCTCTCCTCCTTAAGGAGGTCCCCCCTAAGCAGTGTCTCCCTTGAGCGCCGGCCCATGAGAGGGAGGGGCGCGTGAGTCTGTGCTGTCAGCTCTCTCCAGAGAATGGAAAATGTGGGTACAAGTCTGATGTGGGGGCAGCTTCCACTCCCCACCCCCCGAAGCCGGCCAGCCACAGCCTTTGTTATCACCTGTGGTCGGGCCTGAAAGGCTACAATGGATGTTGGCAGGAAACAGGAGAGAGCCCTCAGAAGGTGCTGTCTCTTAGCAGCACGTCCTCCAGCGCCATCCCCCGTAGTCTTTGGGTCACTTCGAGGAGACAGCCAGGTCCAGGGATCGGGAAGTTCTGCAGGAAAGAAGGAGGGAGCTTCTTCCGAGCTCAGGATGTCTCTCACTCACCTTTTCTTACTGATTTCTAGCTTAATTTCACTGTCACTACAGAACAGTCTGCCTGGTATCAGGTTTGTGAATTTTGTTGAGAATTACTTTTTGGTACACAATTGATCAATTCTGAAAATGTTTCCTGTGCACTTGAAAAGAGCACACATTCACGGTCAGTATTTCACCGACATTCCATAGAAGTCAAAAAGGGCAATTTGATATTGTGCTGTCCAGAACTTCTGCATCAGAACTTCAGAACCTGACTGATTTGTTGTGTCTCGTTAGTTTTTCGTCCCTGGAGTTGTGTCTCATACTCTCTCCCTATGATTGTGGGTTTGATTATTTCTCCTTTTTATTTTTTCTGTTTTTGCTTTGAGTATTTTGAAAGAGGAGCCTACACGCTTGGAGTCGTTATATCTTCTCAGTAGATGAACACTTTCATAGTAAAATATCCATCTTTATTTCAGGCCGTGCATCTTGTCTGAGAGTTTATGTTATGGGATATTATACTGTCACACTGACTTTTTTAGTTAGCACTGGCATAGTATACTTTAATCCATCCTTATTTTTCCAAAATCTCTGTGTTTTTGTACCTAACATGTGTTTCCTTTTTTGCGAAGATTCTTTTGCTCTTCCAACAGTCAACTAAACTTGTCTTTTAATCAGAACATTCAGTCCATTTATAGCATTCTATTTACATTTACTCCTCTGCCAGCTTTGTGCTATTTTCATGTATATTAATTCTATATGTATTTTACAATCTTCGACACAATATCATTTTTGACAGTCAATGTATCATCTAGGTTTATCTACATATGTATCCTTTTGTGTATTGTTTCTTTCTTCCTACCACACTATTTTTCCATCTGGGATTCTCTTCTGCCCAGAGAATTCCTTTAGTATTTATTTTAGAATGCTTATACTGGCAACAAAAACATTCCACTTTGTTTTTGTAAAATAACTTTGTTTTGTACTTATTTTTGAGAGAGATTTTTGCTAACTAAGGAATTCCAGGCCCGTGGTTAATTTCCTTCAGCGTTTAGAAGATGCATGACAGTATCTTCTAGTGTTTGTCGTTCCTATGTGAGGTCGGCTGAAAGCCTGATGGTTGCTTATTTGAAGATAAGATATCTTTTCACCTCTGGCTGATTTCAAGACTTTTCGCATTAAATTTGATTTTGAACTCTTCCATGCTCAGCTGTGAGGCTCTTTTATTATATCCAACTTGTAGTTTGTAACATTGCTTAAATCAATGGCTTGATGTCTTTGGTGAGTTCTAGAAAATTCAGACTTTACATTTGCAGACATTTCCATCCTCTGGCCTGCCTCCTGGGTTTGGCGGGGGTAGGAGGGGAGGCGTGCGGGGGAGGTCTGATTCTCTCTTCAGCTGTTCCTAATGTGAGGTTAACCTGCCTATTGCGTTATTCACTTCTCTTATTGTATTTTTCAGTCCTAGGACTTTCCTTTTATTCTTTTTTCATAGTTCTCCTTCTTTGTATGATCCATCTTTTAATCCCTTGAATCTATTCATCCTGGGTACGTTAAAGTCCTACAGCGTCTAAATATTTTTTCAGATTTGTTTCTATTATTTATTTTTGCTCTTGACTTATCCATGAAATCTTGTCTTATTTCTAACTATTTTTGATTGAGTGCTGAACATTCTGTGTTTTAAAAATTTAGAACTGATTTGAGGCTTTGCATGATTTGGTTAATATTTTAGATTTATCTGACAGCTACGCACAGGATAGAAGCCACAGAAAAGGTCCACATGAAATATAGACCGTTTTGGAGATAACAGGTATCATTACGTAAAGAGTCGCAGATTCTGAAAGCGAGGCACAGCAAGGAGACCGCGGAGGAGAAGGGAAGATTGTTTAGGGTCTATGGGGTGCTGGGAGGGACCGGGGCAGATGCTGAGGGGCGGCACCTGGGTGTGGGGCACTTGAAGACAGAGGCGAGGGGCTCATCCTGACGCCTGTGGTGGTTTGGGACACTGCTTTGTTGGTTTTGATCTGCTGATGCTGGTCCTGGGCAGACACATGACCTCATAAGAGAGGACAGGAAAGCAGATACACAACAGCAGTTTCTGCGGCAGGTGAGTTTCTTCCGAAAATAATGTTTGGAAAGCATCACAGAAAGAGCTAACAAGCAGCCAGTCAGAAGAGTTTCTGAGCCTTTGTTTCTCTGCTGATCCCTGGGGATCTTTGTGTTTGGAAACCAAGGAGTTAAAGGGAAATGGGTGATAGCGGTGCTGGACTCAGTCCTTGAGCTCACTTCCAGAAAATCATGGTAAGGAACCCTGAGACTAGCTGCCAGGGCGCTGCCACAGAAATGGGAAAGGGAGCTGGGGCGAGGGTGAGCAGAGGATTTTACCACGGTGGCCTTGCAGGGGGCACAGCTTTCCCCTCTCCTCCACCTCCTTCCTTCCTGCTTTGAGGAGCCCAGTGCTGAGATCTGGGTTAAACCCCCGTTTAAGGAGGGGGTCTCAGCAAATATATTCCAAAGATCCCTGCTCCTTCAAACCGGGTAATCGGGTAAAACATTCTGGGTTTCATGGAAATCAGCAATTCCTGAAATACATGTCAATTTTTCTACTGTGTGCTTGTATTACAACTTTCAAATAGATTTTTACTCCCTACTGATTTGGGACCCCTGGTGACCGGGCTAATCTGGAGAGGTCTCTCCAAGATGCAATGGCACAGGACGGGCTGCTCCCAGGACTGACTGCCCTTAGAGACAGATGCGTCACTCAAAAACTACTAAGGTGGGCTCATCAATGACAACGGTGGCAGGCACAATATTCACCCACCCCACCAAAGACCCCTAGGCAGCCCACGTCCTGTGAACATCAACTCAGTGAATGGGCCGTGTTTTTAATCCCCAATTCCGTGAGAGCACAAAACAGAGGAAAGACACAAGCCACAAACAAGACACACTAACTGCAATTTACACAATTTCTAAATATTGTCGTCCCCTGGAGAACCATTTCCACACCTTGGCCACAAATGCTAATCATCTGGGATTGCATGTATGTCTGATGTTGGGTCACAGAGATTCTTTTGTGGTAGAGAAGGGGGTGTGGCCTGGTCTCTAGATTTGTAAAATGACACCCATGTGGTTTCATGGGGATGAAGAAAGGCAATGAGTGACATACGGTCAAAAGAGCAGGACCCCAGGACTGCCTGATGTGAAATGGGAGCTGGAAGTGACACAGCTGCCAACTGCGAGGAATGCCACCTAGTGCTCAGGGAGGGCTGGCTATCTGTGACCCATGAACAGTGGCTTGACCTCTTGGAACCTGAGTGCTCTCATAGCCAAGGTGGGCAATAGGCCAGCTTTGCTGGTAACACAGACAAGCCCTTGTAAGTTTATATATGCTCCTATCAAAGTGCTGGGACTTGACACAAACTCTACTCATAGACAGGTCAAAAGAACCAAGACTTTGGCTGTGCCCAGGGGAGGCGGCCCCAACTTGGGGAATTTTGTCCCATCAGCACTTATGGCCTCTTCACAAGAACTGGTTAAACAGGAAACAGGCAGACTGTCAACCAGAGACACTCAAACCAGATCTCCAGGGACCTAGGAGGAGCAGGGGAACCCCTCAGATCTCCCCTCTCAAGTATTCCCCAGGTGGCATGGCCACAGCCTCACTGTCCCAGTCATTCCCCATACCCTCCATGCCCTCCATCTCTCTGTCCCTCCAGGGCTGCTCCCCACCAGGACCCAAGAAGAGAGAGCTGCTCATCAGGTTAGGTGTCTGTCACCACGGTGCCTGTCCCAGGGGGAGTGATTGGTGTTGGTGGCCAAGGAGGCCAGGTTGGGCCCTGATAGGGGAATAAATGGCTCGGGGAGCAGGTGGGGACGTGGTGACTGGAGCTGCCAAATTCTGAGCCATCCCTGCAGTCCCTGGAGGAGACATCCTCATCAGTCAGGCCTCCTGGAGCAGATGCCCCTGATGGGGCCCAAGAGGGCAGAGCCTTCTCTCAGTTCCAGTCGCCCACCTACCACCCGTGTGTCTGGGTGTAGCCCACCTGGAGAAGCACCACCCACTGTGAGTCTGGCCCCAGACACGGAAGCGGAGGGGATGTGGGTGGCTGTTCCCCAACAGAATTGTCTGCATTCCTTTCAAGAGAAATGGATGAGGGGCATGGTGGGATTGGAGATGAGTGAAGTAACAAATGGCAGAATGAATGAATGAGCACACAAACCATCCAGTGGGGCCCTGCCAGAACCAGTAAGGGCAGCCTCACACCAACTGGGGGGTTTGCTTTACTCAACGCTCTGCACCTGCAGCCAAGGTAAGTGCTAGAATGATAAATTCCCCACCACTTGTCGCCGGCAGTGACATTCGTGGAGAATAAACGACCCGGGAGAGTGGAAAGCTGACAGGGACACAGGAAGTGCTCTCAGATGCCTTTATTCCCCCTGCCGCTGCACAGACCTTTGACTGTCACCCTCCAGCAGAAAAGGAACTTCTGCCTTGAGAAGCCAGGGGCTCCTTGCCTGCCTTTCCTAGACACAGGTGCTGTTCAGGAGGGTGAACTGGGAAAACCAGGGTCGAGCATCCACAATGAAAGTGCAGCCCACCTGGAAAAAAAGTAATCATATGACGGAAATCAGGACAATGCGACACTGAGAACACTTAGCGTGAAGGACTGAATAGGAGCTCGAGAGCCATCAAAAACTACAAGAGGGAAGAAAGGAGAAACAGCAACCTGGGGCAGGGCTTGAGAAGCTCAAGGCCCCACCAGGGTGATGGGCAGGGGTTGCTGGATCCGCCCACCCAGGACAGGGGCTCCTGAGAGGGTGCCTGGTGGGGCCACCGCCTGCCTCTCAGGGGTCCTGCCGGGGGCACGAGATGCTCCACGAAGGACCCCCGTTCCGTGAGTTCTGAGGGAGCCGGCACACTGCCCAGGAGACAGTCCAGCTGAGCCCCACACAGTCAATGACAGTGGCAAACCCGCCCCAGGGGAGGTTGCCCCCAAGGCCGCGTCTGTGGGGCAGACCACTCCCACCGAGGGCATCACCCTGACTAAGGCCTTCCCCAAGGTCCCAGCCCCGTGGACCAGGTGTCAGCTCATAGGGCGATGACAGGAGGACGCAGACAGACCAGACATGGCCTTGCAGCCCTGAGACCAGAGGGAAAGGTGAGATGACCCGACAAACCACACAGTCCTTCAACCCAAATCACAGGCCCAAAGGAGCAGGGAGGCCCACGGGGAGAGCATCCTCTGCCTGAAGCCTGAGGTCTCAGGCAGCTTTGAGGCTGGGACCTGGGGGAGCGCTCCCTCCAGGCGGGAAGGTCACGTGGGGTCTGCAGGGTGTCTCTGCTCAGCCAGACAGGCTGTGAGCACAGGCTCAGTCCACTGCTCTGCTGGAAGCAGCCCTATCTGCTCAAAATGGCCCCCTCCCTCCAGCGGAAGCCCCGGGACCTCAGGGAGAGGGGCCAGGCCCCCGCTCTGCCCAGGCCGTCCTTGATGATTCTCCAGTCTCCTCCCCAGGCCCTCCTTGATACTATTTTTCATTCACAGAAGATCCGTGATGCTTTGGGTGGATCGTGTTCTCCCACCTGTTTCTCTCCTGGGCCTTCTTGCAAGGGGCAGTTGTCAATGTCTTCATCGTGTTTCTTACAGATTGTGCGGCCCATCTGCAAGTCCATTAGATAGATCCAAGTAAGATGCTGTCAAGAAGCAATTGGAGAAATTACTGGGAAATACTTTGCCATAATGAGAAAAACACAGAGAACCAAATAGAAAAGTGGGCAAAAGATGTGAATGTGCATATGCATATAAATAGGGAGAAACATATCTGCAATTTCTCTTATTTTTCTTATTGTGAATTTATTTATTATTTTGCTTTTTCCTCTTAATTCTCCATTTCTCTTACAAAATCATGTCTAGGTGTGCGCCTACAGCATGCGCTAGAATCCTCCCCGCCGCTCTCCTCCTGCGGCCGATAACTGGCGGTCACGTGGACGGTGCCGTGAACACACAGGGTGGCAGGTTCACAGGACTTCAGCTCCAGGCACTGCACCCGCACACACCAACCCTGATGGCGTGACCGCTCTCTGAATCGACCCTGGAGCAGCGCCCGCCGGACACAGCGAGCACACGGAGCAGCGCCGTCGATGG